AATTTCGGAGTAGGTACTGCAATAAAATAGATCTTTCCCAAAAAATATTTTATTCCAAATAAAATTTTAGATTAGATAGCATAATGTCGTAAGATTTTGAGCGCTGCACATTATAAAGGCCAAGTGGAAAAGAAACTTGTATTTTAAAAATACAAATTAGTTAAAATATAAATATCTGCTTAATCTAATGACTATTCCTGTCGCCTATGTAGATACATGGAAATATTTGATTCTGTGTAGTTCAAAATTTTTCTCTGACATTGCCTAATATATTGCTGCTGCTTATGGTAAATTTTCAGACAGCCTTTAACTGCTATAAAGGTTAATCCACCTAGAATTGTTTTGTGGAAATTCGATTTTACTGAATCAAAAAATAGTTTTCCAAATATGTTAGCAATTGTTGGCAATAAAAGAGCCCCACAAAGGACGCGTGTAGCTGAAACAGGATCTGATAATGCTGGTATGTCAGCATCTGTTCTTGAAGAAGGAGGTCGCACGTCAAGTCTGCAAAATCATTATTAAACTTTATAATAAGTCAATGTTTAATATTATAGTGTGTATACAAGAAGGTAAATAAGCAAGTAACCAATACTTACCTAAAAGGTAATACATACTTAATAAGTGGTACTTTTACAAGGTATTTTCTCATAAAAGTGAGGACTGCATCTTCCCAGCGTACCATTTTACCAACCACTAAGGCAATTGGGATAGCTGGTAATCCTATTAGTAATACTAATGGATCAGCATTTTCCATCACAGTAATTGCTTCTTTTTGCCCTACTACCTATTTGTACATGTACTATTAATTATAATATACAAATTACAATAAATAATGCAAACCTGCATTATAGTAATCGCTCCATAAGTTACAGCACACCAATAAATTGCCCCCACAACTATTCCTGCTGCCAGAAAAGGGCATCCTTTATATATAAATGAATCAACTGTATCTAGTAGTAAAACCATTATGCCCATATTTGGGAAGACAATAATATATTCTGTTTGACATTGTGGACAAACTACTTTTCCTTCATTGCCACCTTTTTGTTTTTCATCTACCCAACGTTGTAGACAAGCTTGATGTACCTGGTAACGTAAATAGAAGTGCATTATGCTAAAAAGTGAGTAACTCCTAGTACTTTTCAATGAAGTATTTTAAATTCGGAATTAAATATTAGTAAAGTACCCATTTTGTAGTTCCACGACATCGACATGGTTGCACCCATTCTGCTTCAGTGTCTTCTTCTTGAGTTGCAAAACATACCCAACAATACCTGCTTGATTCTCTGCTGCTACTTTTGTTGGTTTGAATAGATCTTTGATCGTTTGATCCAACTACATTGACAAGATCTTCCGCTGTCTGTATATGTGGATGATCCATATTTTTGCGGTTGAAATTTCATTTTATTTCATGTTTTTGTTAATGAATACATTTATATATAGCTTCAAATATTAGAGTATTTCAAAAAAATTTCTTCTATTTTACTGAATAAGTGTTTTAAATGAAACAAAAATTTGTGAATTGATTACAACGTTACGTCAAAATTCAAGGTTATGATTACAAATGGATTACAATAATGCAGATTAAACTTGAATTAAACCGATGCTGGATTGCCAATTGTCAATATACATAATGTTAAGAATTTAACATAAGTAATAATTTATAGACAAGGTAATAATTGTATTAAAATCATAGTTAATGTGGATTTATTTAATGCAATAAGCCTGTTGAAAGTTGATGTAAATTACATGAATAAAAGTAAAATGATAGATAAGATAAAAATAATACTAAATATTTATATTTAGCAATGCAACTATGTTTGTTATGTCTAACATAACATAGTCATATACTGGCCCTGAGTTGGTATGAAATCGATTGTACTAACTGAAAATATTTGTAATTTTTATTTTAATTTTGTAAACATTGATGTTATATTAGTTGGAATAGTAAAATAGAAATTCTATCACATTTATAAAAAATTGTTTTAGTAATCGCGATAAACAATCATTATTTACTTAATTGACATTGATTAGTTACATTATTTCCATTCAATGAATACTAAGTACAATAAAAGATATTTTTTGTTGATAAGTGTATCAAGTAGTTTCAAATACATAACATTTACTGAAATAGGAAATAGCAATCAAAGATATAATTTTACAATTTTATCTTTCAATTGAAAATTTTATCTAAAGTACCTAAGTAGAGAGNTGGTTTAACAACTCGTATCTTAATTCCGACAGTTCAATAATCTATGAAAATTAATAATCGAATTTTTACAAAAAACTTCATTTTATTTATTTATTTTCCAACTTTCAATTTGTACAACTTTCATTACGCACAAATCCCTTGTATATCACCGATCGATAATTTAGTCAATATTTCAGAAAATCTATTTTTTCCAAATTATTATTATTTTTTTTTAATAGATTCCTATCATCACCCCCAACACATTGCTAATAATTATGTTCTCGGTTTTATATATTTTTTTCAACAGTCTAACAGGTTGCATGAAAAAATAGTACCTACATCGTTAACTTACAAAAAATATTTTTAGTAGAATCAAAATTATGCTTAATATTTTTATTTTCCTGCTAAATAATCACTAAAGTATTTTTCATGAAACATATTGCATTTAAAAATGAAATTGTTAGTTGCTTAGCTCGATTTAATAGTTCCTTCTTCTTCTAACCTAAAATAAAACATTATTTTAAACACTGGGTATAAAATAGAATAGTATAGTCCAGGCAAATTAGACTTTTGGGTTGAAAAACTTGAACTAAAATTTATTTTTGCGATAAATCTTCATGCATTGAAAATTACTTTGAAAAATCGGGGCCCCTACCCCCCAAAAAGTGATTCTAAACAACTTTCATATTTACTTTTATTCGTTAAAATTAATAGAAAAAAGTTATGGAGAATATAAGAAAAACGAAAACAACATCGAAAAAACGACCTTACACTTGTGGGCACAAATTTAATAATGATGTCTAGTCCAAAATTTTCAAAAAAACTCGCCTGGACTATAATAGAAAGAAGGGATGCGGTTTTATTTACCAAGTCCAACTTTCCCAATCCCCAAGACGAGCCGATTCTCCTTTGTCCAATCCTTTTAACAATTGTAAATCATTTTGATCAAGTGTAAAATCAAAAATTTGAAAATTTTCTTTGATTCGATTAAGATTCGAACTCTTCGGTATAGCTGCTATATTTTGTTGAACTAAAAATCGTAGGGCTATTTGAGCGGGTGTTTTCGAATATTTTATTGCTATTTCGTGTACAATCGGGTCATCTAACAGCTTTGGTATACTTTTACTAAAAGTAATAACATACCCTTTTGTTTGTAGTCATGATAAATAATATTAAACGACTAAAACTTACGTAATTCCGTACTCAGAATAAAAAGCGTTTATTCCGGGACTGCCTAGTGGACAATATCCTATTAACGTAATATCATGTTCTTTACAAAAGTTGACTACGTTTTGTTGCTGAACATAAACATTTAATTCAGTTTGAAGACAAGCTGGTTTTATAACAGCATTTGAAAGAACTTCATTGATTTGAGGAATATTAAAATTGGAAATTCCAATTGATTTTGCTCGACCTAAAAGTACTTGTTCTTCCATTTTCTGAAATATAAAAATTTAATTACTTATATGCATATTGTTTGACCTCTGAAAAAACGCGTACTTTCCAAAGTGCAGATATATCTACATTTTTATCCATTTCAACTTCTTTAGTATTATTATTAGGCGGTGGAGAATTTTTAATACCTTCGGGACTATGAATAAGGTATAAATCAACATATTCTAACTGTAAATCTTTTAAGGATTGAAGGATATATTTTTCCATTCTTTCTGGGTAGTTTCCTGCAGGAGGCAATTTGGTTGTAACAAACAATTCTTGCCTTTGAATTTTTCCAGAATTAATCCATTCTTTAAGAACATCTCCTATTGTTTTTTCATTGTCATAAAGGGTTGCAGTATCTATATGACGATAACCAATTTCGAGTGCCCAGTTTATGGCACTTTTTAAATTTTTATCGCTTGTCTTTGAAGAGGAAAACAGATGTGTTGAATTTTAATATTAAAAAAGAATAAAAAAATTAAATGAACTTACTAGCCACGTCCCTAAGCCTAGAACGGGCATTTCAATGTTATTGTTAAGTCGTACAAAAGTCATGTTATTTTTATATAACTTGAATAAAATAATTTTCACATTTATACACAACAATCGAAAACAAACTGCATTATAATCAGAATGTTCATATGTTCTTAATTTGAATTATTTCATTATCTATTCTTACGCAACGGCGATAATTTTAATAATTTTTTGATAAGTATACTCGGAAGCTTAAACAAAACAAATTATGTACACGCGAATATTTTATTGTCTCAAGTTTTTATGTACTAGACTTTCAAGTATATTTTCTAAAGTAGCAGATTTATGCTATTACCTACTTATTTTAATTAATTTAATTATTATTTAGGTAATTTATTTGGAAGTGAGTTAGTA